GGAGAGATCACTCCTCCCATTTTGTTTTAGCGTCCTCCTTCTGCAGGTATAATGACATAGAAAAGTACATTCAAAAGAATGAGTTAAACAGATATATAATATTATAGTATTTTCTGATGTATATCTCACTTTTTTCTCCAGAATGTCAGTCTAGTATACTTAGTGTTCCCTTTTCCAATTTACCTCCTCAATGTTAATTCTATAAAATTAATAGGTTTTATAAGTTAATTATTCTACCAGTTATTTGCTTTTAAAGCTGCAGTTCTAGTTTTGCACTTTGAGTAAGTCCTTCTGAACTCACTTGAATTTATTTTTAAGTCAGCCAGTGTAAATGCTTGAATTGTGGATCTTATTTGAAGGACAGATTTAGCATGCATTTATTTCATTACAGCTTCACTGGACAGCATTAAACTTATTTTTCTTGCATTATAGTCTGCCACAAATACTTCACCTTTAAGTTTTCTTCTGAAATGGCTGTATTTCTTCTAGCAAATGAGCATTCATAACTCACATAGTTTTCCAGATTCTTTGAATAGAAGAGATGCAAAATATGCAGCTTTGACATATACAATCATAGAGAGAGATTCCAGTCAACGACACTGCTATTTTCTTCAGGGTCATCTCCCCCCCACTCTTCCTTGCAGACATCACACAGTTCAACTAAGAAACCTGACAGCTGTGTCATTGGACTTTAGAAAGCAGCTGATAAAACCTGACAAGGACAAGAAGTATATAATGGTCTAGCTGTGTTTAAAGGCTCAGATGATTTTTATGTAGCTATAATGGAAAAAGTTGCAGGTTTCCCAAGTAGTTTCATAATTGCATTTATGCTGCTATACTATTCTACCCTCTACTGGCTAATTTGTAGATTTGCAGAAAGACACCCTTAAGGGAGAAACAAAACCTTCAAAGCCCCATATTATGAAAATGTGTTAAATTATAGATCTATTTTATCAAAAGGTATTAAGTAAAATAGCTTTTTAAAGTGAATATTATATAATTGTTACTTTCATTTTAAATGAATCATGCTACTGCTGAGATCACAAAACACATAAATATGTTTGCAAACATGTTTTTATTGGAAAAAAAGGTTTCATTTCATTTATACAGATTGGGGGAAAATATTTGCATTGTGCTTTTTTAGTGAGTTAACTAGGATAGTTAGAAGCAACTGAAATACAAAATAGCAATTAAAAACACACAGGCACAAGTTAGCTAATGACTAAAAGCTAGACAAAATACATGCCGTAATTAAGACAATTTATCATATTTTCAAAATACAATAAATTGTATTGGCACTATCCTGTCCATGTTTCCAGTCATGTGAGTTCTGGGATGTAAAGGTTTTATATACATACATTTTATATATATATATATATATATATATATATATATCTATATATATATTATATATATATATATATCATATATATATAATATATATATATAAATATATATATAGTATAATATGTTTTTCTGACGTTTTTTCGGGGGTATTTGTATGTAGGTCTTTGGTTGTTCGGGTTTTCTCCCACGTAAAATTGGGAGTGTCTTGGCGACGTTTCGACGAAGTCCCATTCGTCATCTTCAGGCTGGTGCTTTCAGCTTCGTGCCTCGAGCAGCAATGTGTGGTCTTAGCTGTTTCTTCCTTTTAACTGCCAGTGGGGGTATGAACTGATTGGATGGGAGCTTGGCTGTGGTCTGATTGGGTGGAGGTGTGTTCTGATTGGTTAGGGGCGTGGCTGTGCTCTGATTGGCTGGGGGGTTGGCTGTGCTCATGATTGGGCTGGGGGGTTGGCTGTGCTCTGATTGGCTGGGGGAGTGGGTCTGTTTGGTTTTGATCAGGTTAGTCTGAGTTGAGTTGCAGAGGATTCAAGATTTGGGCTGCCCTGCCAGTCCTTGGCTTCGCGGTCGTGGTCGTGCTTCCTCTTCATGGAGGGTGTCAGTTTGCTTCATGTATGGATTGGGGGGGTTTAAAGTGGCTAATGATGCAGCTGTGGTCTGGCTTCTGGTTTGTGGTCGTGCCTCATAGTCAGTGGGGCTTTGGGTTTGTTTTTTGCGTGGATGTTTGGTGGTGACATCCTGTGTGGTTTTTGTGAGTGTGGGTCTGGTATCATTTTTTGTGTTAGGGAGTCGTTTGTCAATGAGGGAGGGTTTCCAAATGGCTGGTAGGCGGGAGGTATCATCTCGCTTGTTCATGCTGTGTGGGCGTTTTTCTATCTCGATGGCTTCTCTGATTATTCTGTTATTAAAATGTTCACTTTTGGCAATGGTTCTGGTATTTTTAAAGTCAATTTCATGTCCTGTGGCTTTAAGGTGTTGGACCAGGGAAGATGTTGGTTCCTATTTTTTGACTGAGTTCTTATGTTCTTCAATGCGTGCACTTATTCTTCTGTTGGTTTGTCCAATGTATGTGGTGGGACAAGTGGTGCATGGGATTTCGTATACTCCTTGATTTTCTAATTCAATTTTATCTTTGGGTTTTCTAAGGATGGTGGATATTTTTCTGTTTGTGCAGAATGCTGTTTTGATGTTGTGTTTATGGAGGATCTTACTGATTCTGTATGTGATGCCTTTTATGTATGGGAGGATGGCTTTGCCGTTTTCTTGTTCTTTGTCTTGGATTTTAGTGGGGGTTTCTTTTTGGATTAGGTTTGTAATCTTATTTCTATGGAATCCATTGGATGTTAGTACATTGGTGAGAGTGTGTAGTTCGGGGAAAAAACCACCAGATCAAAAATAAAAGCCTCCCCCATTAGCGAAGAGATCCAGCAAAGAATCATTCCCAGAGAGAAATCATCCAGATGCCCCAAACTCTATGGTCTCCCAAGATACACAAAGAAGGAACCCCACTCAGACCTATAGTCAGCTCCATAGGCTCACCTCTACAAAACCTAGCCAAATTTCTCGCCAAACAACTACAGCCCTATGCAGAATCAATTACCTCACACGTAAAAAACTCATTCCAGTTTATAGAGATCATAAAGAAACAAAACTTACAGCCCAGCGACCTACTAGTGAGCTTCGATGTCATATCCCTCTTCACCCAAGTGCCTATCAAAGAAGCCTTGACAGCTATTCAAAACAAATATAAACCCCCCCAAACACATCTTAGATCTGACCAACCACTGCCTATCCAACACATACTTCATCTATAACGGACAAAAATACAAACAAACAGAAGGAGCACCCATGGGATCACCCCTCTCACCTGTCAGTGCCAACCTCTACATGGAACACTTTGAAACCCAAGCTCTAGAAACATCGGATCACAAACCCAAACTCTGGCTCAGATATGTAGACGACACCTTCATAATCTGGCCACATGGGAAAGAAAAAAACTGGACAACTTCCTCACACACCTCAACAGCCTACACCCCAAAATACAGTTCACCATGGAAACAGAAACTAACAACCAACTTCCCTTCCTGGATGTCTTAGTCTACAAGAAATCCAATGGCTCCCTAGGACACACCATCTACCAGAAGAAAACACACACAAAACGCTATCTGCACGCTCTCTCACACCACCACCCAGCACAGATCAACTCTGTAGCCAAGACACTCATCTCCAGAACAAAACGCTTAGCTGACGAACAACACCTAAAACCCGAACTACACACTCTCACCAATGTACTAACATCCAATGGATTCCATAGAAAAAAGATTACAAACCTAATCCAAAAAGAAACCCCCACCAAAATCCAAGACAAAGAACAAGAAAACGGCAAAGCCCTCCTCCCATACATAAAAGGCACCACCGACAGAATCAGTAAGATCCTTCATAAACACAACATCAAAACAGCATTCTGCACAAAACAGAAAAATATCCACCATCTTAAGAAACCCCAAAGATAAAATTGAATTAGAAAATCAAGGAGTATACGAAATCCCATGCACCACTTGTCCCACCACAGACATCGGACAAACCAACAGAAGAATAAGTGCACGCATTGAAGAACATAAGAACTCAGTCAAAAAAAGAGGAACCAACATCTTCCCTGGTCCAACACCTTAAAGCCACAGGACATGAAATTGACTTTAAAAATACCAGAACCATTGCCAAAAGTGAACATTTTAATAAAAGAATAATCAGAGAAGCCATCGAGATAGAAAAACGCCCACACAGCATGAACAAGCAAGATGATACCTCCCGCCTACCAGCCATTTGGAAACCCGCCCTTATTGACAAACGACTCCCTAACACAAAAAATGATACCAGACCCACACTCACAAAACCCACACAGGAGGCCACCACCACACATCCACGCAAAAAACAAACCCAAAGCCACACCGATGACGAGGCACGACCACAAACCAGAAGCCAGACCACAGCTGCATCATTAGCCACTTTAAACCCCCCCAATCCATACATGAAGCAAACTGACACCCTCCATGAAGCACGACCACGAACGCAAAGCCAAGGAATGGCAGGGCAGCCCAAAATCTTGAATCCCTCTGCAACTCAGACTAACCTGAGCACAACCAAACAGAACACTCCCCCAGCCAATCAGAGCACAGCCAACCCCCCAGCCAATCAGAGCACAGCCAAGCCCCCAGCCAATCAGAGCACAGCCAAGCCCCTAACCAATCAGAACACACCTCCACCCAATCAAAACACAGCCAAGCTCCCACCCAATCAGTTCATACCTCCACTGGCAGTTAAAAGGAAGAAACAGCCAAGACCACACACTGCTGCTCGAGGCACGAAGCTGAAAGCACCAGCCTGAAGATGACGAATGGGACTTCGTCGAAAAGTCGCCAAGACACTTCCAATTTTACGTGGGAGAAAACCCGAACAACCAAAGACCTACATATATATATATATATATATATATATATATATATATATATATATATATAGAGGTAATCATTATGTCTGAAGATGCAATTATAATAATTAATTTGCACTAAAGTAGAATTTAATTTGGGAGGAGAACCACAGTCCTCAATAAAGAAGTTGGCTCACAATTTTTATTTTTGCATGCTTTTGTAGGTCCTATCTGTTCTGAAAAAACCACAACCAGAAATTGGCTCCTCACATTCTTTAGGAGATTCTCTATGACTATGCCATACATTCAGTTGATTTCCTACTACCGCCAGACCTTTGATGTAGTAAGTCTTTTGTGGAGGTTTGGACTTGAGCCTGCCACATCTTTTGGTTTCTAGGCATATAAGAGACCTCCCACAGCAGAGCTATTTTGCCTAGTGGTATTGATCTAATGCCCCATTTCTCCAGATGTAGGGTAAAAAGAAAACTATGCTTGCTATTAGCTAGGGCAAGATTGACTGTCTCCTAGTGAAGAATTGAGGGAAAGAAAACATGTGAGATGTGAGATTGATTCTTTCAGAAGGGTGCTTGGATATTAAAGACTAGAAATGGAAAAATCAGCACTCTTCTACTTAAAAAAGAATACTGTACAGTATAGCAACTGAAAAAAGGTAGACTGGGGCCTTTTTTTCATCAGTCAGTCAGTCATCAATTACAGAAATCTGTCATCTTCAAGCGAACTATTGCCCTTCCATGATAAGTGAGAAGGAAGAGTGACAAAGGGAATTGCACAATCAAAATGGCACACTATTCCTCTAATCCAGTGGTTCTCAGCCTTTTTAATGCCGCGACCCCCAACCGGTTGTAAGTCGAGGACTACTCAACTGGTGCAGCACCATCTGCAGAATGGGATTTTTGGTGGGCTCAGCAGGGCAGAGACAGCCTGGACAATTCCTATTGGCTTTTGAAAGCCAATAGAATTAGACTCTATTCAAGAGAGTCTATTCTATTGGCTTTCAAAAGCCAATAGAATAAAAGGGAGTACCACAGCTAAGGAAAAGGGGGAAAAATGGCGGACTGCGTTGTTTGGCGACCCCGTGAAATGGTGGTTCGACCCCAAATGGGGTCCCAACCCACAGGTTGAGAACCACTGCTCTAATCTGACAATTTCTGTATTGGACCAGCTGGCTGGGAATTTGGGAGTTACCTGTAAACTGCTTGGAGAAGATGACTTGTTATTGGCCATATCCACTATGATAGCCAGCCTAGTAATCTGAGTAATAGTGTGACTTATTAAACAATGTTGAAGCAAATGAAGAGTGGGAGATTTTATTATTATTTGCTTACAGGTCTCTCTTTCATATCTATCTATCTACAGTATCTATCTATCTATCTATCTATCTATCTATCTATCTATCTATCTGTCTGTCTATCTATCTATCATTTGTCTGTCAGTCTGTCTGTCTGTCTGTCATCTCAGATACATAAATATTTATATATTTTCCCCAACAGTACACAGTTTTGGATCTATTAACTCCAAAACAAATCGGGGATATGATAATCCATTCTGACACTTTGACCAACATCTCTTTGGCAAAACATCTTGTGGTCTTCTTCCAAGGTAGCAGCTTCAGCGATGTCCAGATGATTCTCAAAGAATTCACCCAAGCTGCTATTAAGGTTTGTCTCCCTAGTTCTCCACCTCTGCCCCCAGTCCATTTTTATGAGAAAAACATGGTTACTGAAGGTGGTTGTTTCAAAATGTCAGCACTATTTGCACTGATAATTCCATTAGTGACTTATCAGTAACTTGGTTTCTTCAAATAAATTAATCAAAATCTATAATAGAAATCTATATATTCTTAAAAATCTGCTTTGTTCTCCTCTCTTCAGTGGAACAGTTTTGTGATTTGGCATTTTTTCTTATTTTATTTTCCAAAAATTGAAATGTTCATTGGATTACATGGGAGCAGATGGAAATTTCACTTTCTTTTTAAAAAGTGTTTGCCACGTTGTTTATTGTATGATCATTCTAGAAAATGCCAAAGTCAGGGAGCCTCTCTTCAAATAACATTTTTGTAAGTGTTTTAAAACATTTTTAAACTATGAAGAGACCTTTTCACCAGTTTTTACATAAAAAAGAAACCAATCTCTCAAGAACAAGCCCTGGGATTGTAAACATACAGGGCAGATGCCTCGATGAGTGGTCATGAACCACTTTAAACTGTAGAGAATAAAGAATTTATATTTGAATATTTCTTATATAAAAATCATCTCTATACAATCATAATTAGCAGGGTCAAGGGTAATGCAAGGGTAAAACTTGTTTTCCGTGGCCAGGGTTTTCTAGATACAAATATGGATCTCTTCTCCATTCTCATTCTCCATGTTTTCAATTTGGTGACTTTCTTGTAATCACTGTGCAGCACAAGATTGTTGTCCTTCCAAACCTGGAAGTGACCCAGTTGCTCTTGACAAATTTCCTGGAACTGGCATCTTCTCACCTGGAGATGTATACTGCAATTGATTGGAACATCACATTCCAGCAAGATCTATGGTTCCTTGCTTATGCATTCAATACTACAACACTTACTTACATCATTCCCCAAGACTATGCATCCTTCGTGGTTATGTACGTATTCGATACATTTGCTATTATAGCAGGAGTCTCTAGCCTTTCTGTACGAGTGAGCACTTTTCATATTTTTAAAGTATGTTGTGCAAGTTTAGAGACAATGTTGGTGGTTCCTTAAAGAAGTCCATTTACAAAATGGCCAAAATTGTGAGTCTGGGCAATTATAGAACAAATTAGTGAGGTTGCTCTCTACCATCTTTCTCAATCCTCAGACACCCATTTTCAGTCCCTGACTTATCGTCTTTTTTTTTTTTTTTTTTTTTTTTACCAAGGGAGCTCACTTGCAAACAAAGCACTGGATTCCTTGCACATTTTCTAAGACCAGCCTGGCTACTACAGAAGAGACTATTAGACTACAGAGGGTACTCTAATATCCCCCAGGTGGCTTAGACCTTAACTATCAAAGCCTCAGTCAATAAGACTTGGGACTTATAATCTAGAACAGTTTGCCTACATTAGGCTTATTTGTGTATTTGTAAGCTGCCCCAATTATACCGACTTGTGAGTGATGTACAACAATGCAAGAAATAACACACATCGCCATGTATAATATAGTAAAATAGTAACAAATAATAATAAAGACAGTTGCCCAGTTGGCCAAAATGGTATGGCCTTCCAAACCTTATGACTTTCAAGGGGGTTGGGGCCAGTTTTACCTTTTGTATGTGTGTGCCTTTAAGTCAGTTTCTGACTCTTTGATAAGTCCTGCAGTTTTCATGGCAACATTTGCCATTGCCTCCTTCATGGGGCTGAGAGAGAGTGGCTGCCCCTGATCACTCAGCTGGCTTCATGTCAAAGGTGGAACTAGAACTCATGTTGGTGCCCCACACTGCCTCTCCTATGTTTTACTTAGGGGGAAGAGGATTCTAAAGTGCAGGGCTAGTGCCAGAAAGGCCTGATTTCTGCCCCTTTCCCACTACTACTTGATGGAATAGGCCCCTCAGCAGTTCTTCCGTTTTCAGATTCAATCCCTACTGAGTTTACCTAACATCTCTTTGGTTGGAGGTTAATCTCTGGGTTAACCCATAAATGAGTTCTAACGGTTCTGCATCAAGGTGGTTCTGCCAGGACAGAAAAGAAATTTGGGAAGAACACATCCTGTAGTCCAAATGAACTGTGGTAATATCTTCTGGGAGCTCTTGCATGCAAAAATCTCAGTGATTGTGAACGATTGAGTCATTTTCCGTTGTTACTTGTGTCTTTTCAGTGTCTCAAGGTTTAGCAATGCACATGACCAAATGTCAGAAACCTCAAAGAGAGCTGTAGTGCTCTGGATTATTCACTATCTCAAGGAATTTAAAGGTAATCTGACATCAGACTCATGCTATCTTTGACAGATTTAAGAGCTGTCTCCATTGGAATGATCTCTGATCATAGCGTTCCATTACTCATTTCCTAATGACAGCTGGTCACTGAGATGTGTCATAACACTAGGTGTGCTTCATGTCCCATGAACACGTGAGACAGCAAAGAGAGGGGTAGATAAATTCACATATAAAATGTGCTGTTCCAGGAAAAAGGGAATTATTTCTGATTTGCCATCCTGCTGCCCCAGAGAGCTGTTTCTATGAGCTTAAGTATAGTCAAGCCATTTTTAGTGAGGGATTACAATGGTGATGAGTGCATCATTCTGAAGTGTGAATGGCCAGTTTGGGGTCAGGTCATTCTGAAGTTCTATTTATGGGGCTGCTAACAGCCATCGCTGATAGCACATGATTGATTTCTGAGAGAGACATCTCAGCTCTCCCCCCCCCCTTAAACAATTTCCGTTTGGTAGGGGTGAGAATGATGGGCAGTTGTAAATAGAAATAAACAGGGCTTTTTTTGTCATAGAACACCCAGAACGGAGTTCAGGCACCTTTTTTGGATGGAACCAGGGTAGGCAAGGCGGGTTGTATGACATGTGTGCGCGTTCCGGCACCTTTTTTTTTTTTAACAAAAAAAGCACTGGAAATAAATATGCTTTGCGTTGGTTAAAGAGAGGGTCAAGTTCTCCTCCGTATAGTGAATTGCATGGTAAGGTATAGTGTTTGCACTGGATAAACTCTGTATTTCATGAGTTCCCTTGTTCCTTATTCAGCATATCACATGGAGTTCAGTGATGAATGGATCCATCAGGCATGGGGCTTGTTCTTCCATGATGCCACCTTGGAAGAAGTGAAATCCACTCATGAGAAGTTTGACCCTGTGAGTATGATTTATTGCTTAGCAGCTAATTTAGACCACAGTGATTGTGGGGGCAGAAGGTATGTGTGTATTCTCAAAGCGATTTGAAAAATGTACTTTGAACCTTATGCAACCCTTTATTATTTCTTAGAGAAGGCCAAATTCTTGCAGGTGTCATGCAATTGTCTTAGGAAATCTGCCTTGTCTTGTCTTGTTTTGTGTCTGTCTGTCTGTCTGTCTGTCTATCTATCTATCTGTCTGTCTGTCTGTCTGTCTGTCTGTCTGCCTGCCTGCCTGCCTGCCTACCTACCTACCTACCTACCTACCTACCTACCTACCTATCATCAAATTTATATAGCCACCAATCTCATCAAAAGTGACTGTGGGTGGTGCACAACAATGATATTCAAATAACAATGTAAAATCCATAAATATAAAATTCAAAAAAATCATATTAATAAATGTCATAAAAACCAAAGATAGAAATGCTAGGTGATGAGAAGGACAAATATGGATACCTCAAAAATAGTAATCTCAGCAGGCCTTGAGGGCTTTTTGGAAAATCAAAAGAGATGGGGTTAGATTCAGGGGGAAGAATGTTCTATAAGGATGGTGCTGTGGCAGAGAAGGTGTTTCTCCTGGGAACTACCAAATGTAGGTCCCTAACCAACAGAACCCACAACATGACTTCTCTGCCAGGTCTAATGGGCTGGGCTGATATCACTGGAGAGACATAGTTCCCTCAAATTATTCTTGTTCCTTGAACGAATAGGAAAGAAATGGTATAATTCTACAAGGTCCAGAGCAATTGATACTATTGTTCTTCAAGCAGCCCTGCTTGTCAGTGTGCTTGCATATGCAATTCAAGGTGCTAGTTGTCATATATAAAGCCTTCTGTAAGGACCCACCCCACTTTGCATCTTAAGAAGACAGAACTCTTGGAATAGCTCTTCCAACAGGAATCCTTTATTAAGAGAAAATGGTTGCAGGCATGCTAGACAGGACTTGGGGTTCAAGCTCTCCCATTCAAGGTTTTAAGGGGTTCCCCAGTAGTCCCACCCAATCAACCCCCCTTCCAGTGATAGTTTCAAGTATCACAATTCCATCCCCTTTCTTCTTCCGTCTGGATGGAGACTTCAGATAACTACATGAAAGGCAATTACTCTTCTTTGATATGTTAAAGCTTAGAGGCCACAATAAACACACATTCAGTCCTTTGAAGTGTGCTGAAGGAAGTGAGGGCCATAAAGCCCCTTTGCTCTCCCCCTTTTCTCCCTCTTATGGCAGAATCCAGAGAAGGCAGAATTGGGAGTTTCTATGTTTGATAATTAAAGATGAAATATAATTGGATTCTGACATCCGGCCCCTCTTAACAATAAGAGAGATCCACCTGAAAGAAAACACAAGTAAAAAATTTAGTTAGGCTTGTTAGGATACTCTGTGTGAAACTTCTTCAATAGCTTCGGGGCTCTGACGTGACGTTTATGGACCCACTCATTTTGTGAGGCAGGGAGGTGTTTCCAGGCAACTAGGTACTGAGTTGTTCCACGATATCTCCTAGAGTCAAGGATCTCTTTTATTTCGAAGTGTTGTTCCCCCTCCACCATGATTGGAGGTGGTGGGGGGGGGATTTTTGGCCGTAGAGGTGACTGATGCTCTCTTTTCAGCAAGCTGCAATGAAAAATTGGGTGTATTTGCCTGAGGTTTTTGGGTAATTCTAATTCTACTGTTACTGGATTTATGATCCTTTTAATTGGAAAAGGTCCTATATATTTTGGTCCAAGTTTTTTACAGGGCTGTAGGGACTTTAGGTATTTTGTAGATAAGTACACCATTTCTCCTATAATGAATGGTGTAGGCTCAACCCTTTTTTTATCGGCTTGTGCTTTGTATGCCCGCCTAGCTTCATCTAGTGATTTTCTGACTATTGGCCAGGTGTTTTGTAGGTTTTCCATCCATTCTTTCAGTGAAGGGATCGTTGGTTCTTTTGGGGTTAACTCTGGCATAGGGTTGAAACTTTGGCCGTTGGCTATTTGAAAAGGAGTGTAGCCTGTGCTGGAGTGGACTGCATTATTGTAGGCAACTTCTGCAAAAGGAAGTAAGTCCGTCCAATCACTCTGTTGGAAATTTAAAAAACATCTCAAATATTGCTCAAGTACCGACTGGCAGCGTTCCGCTTGTCCATCTGTCTGAGGGTGATGGCTAGATGTCAGTCCCTGAGTGGTCCCTAAGAGGGATAAAAATTCCTTCCAAAATGTAGACGTAAATTGCACTCCCCTATCAGAGATGATGCGTTGGGGTGCCCCGTGCAATCTGTAAATGTGCTGGATAAAAAGTTTTGCTAAGGCCTTTGCAGTGGGAATTTTTTGGCAAGGGATAAAGTGCACCTGTTTGGAAAATAGGTCCGTGACTGTCCAGATAACAGTATTCCCATTGCTTTCAGGCAATTCCACTATAAAATCCATGGCTATTTCCCTCCAGGGGGCTGAGGGACTTGCCACTGGTTGTAACAGCCCTGGCGATTTCCCTTGCAACCTCTTTGCTGATGCACAGGTTGGGCAGCTGGCAACATAACTTTCTATGTCCTTTTTTATTGATGGCCACCAAAATTGCCGTTTAATTAAGTGTAAAGTTTTTACAAATCCAAAATGCCCTGCTGATTTTGTGTCATGGCAAAGTTGCATGAAAGTTAGTCTTTGAGTTGTTGGTATATATAACTTTTCCCCTACCCAAGGCAATCCGTCTCTCATTGTGCACACATGTTTGTTTTTCTGGAACCAATCATCTGTTTCCAAACTTTTTCTGAATTCAATCCCAGTTTGGCTGTCCAGTTGTGGTTTTATTTTGGCTTGGGTTCTTGTGGTTACTGGCGCTGCCAGTTGTGATTCTGCCATTATTGGTCTAGAGTCTGTGGTTCGTGCGCTGTTATATTGGGGCATGCGAGATAGTGCATCTGCCAGGAAGTTCTTTCTTCCTGGTAAATGTTTGAGCTTAAATTGGAATTGGTGAAAATGCTGGGACCAGCGGGCTTGTTTGGGATTGAGTTTCCTGGAAGTTTTCAGGGCTTCTAAATTTTTGTGATCAGTCCATACCTGGAAGGGGATTTTGTTGCCTTCCAGGAACTGTCGCCACGTGAGTAATGCCCAACGTATCCCATAAGCCTCCTTCTCCCATACGGGCCAGCGCTGTTCTGTTTCCGTGAGTTTCTTAGATGTATATGCACAGGGTTGCAATACTGCATCATCATTTTCTTGTAATAGCACAGCCCCCACTGCCACATCACTTGCATCTGCCTGTATTATGAAGGGCTTGTCCATATCTGGGTGCCTTAGTACTGGTTCGGCAGAAAAAAGTCTCTTTAGTCTCTCAAACGCTGCTTGGCACTCCATTGTCCATGTTAGTGGCTGGCTAGGTTTTACTGAGGATGTTCCCTTCGTTTTTAGTAAGTTGGTGAGGGGCAAGGCTATCTGTGCAAATGAGGGGATGAATTGGCGGTAAAAATTTGCAAAGCCCAGGAAACTTTGTAGTTGCTTTCTTGTGCGGGGTGGTGCCCATTCTAATACTGCTCTGACCTTCTCTGGGTCCATTTCAATGCCCTGTGGGGATATGCGATAGCCTAGGTAGTCTATCCTTTCCTGGTGGAATTCGCATTTTGAGAGTTTGGCATATAGGTGAGCGGCTCGCAGCTTCTTTAAAACCGCTCTGACAAGTTTGACGTGTTCTTCTTTTGTTTCGGTAAAGATAAGAATGTCGTCCAAGTAAACAAGGACCCCCTTAAACAGGTGCTCCCTTAGAACGTCATTGATTAATTGCATAAAGACTGCAGGGCCCCCTTGTAATCCAAATGGCAAGACTTTGAATTGATAGCACCCCATGGGGCAGTTAAATGCAGTCTTCCATTCGTCCCCTTCCTTGATTCTCACGCGATAGTAAGCTTCCCTTAAGTCTAGTTTAGAAAAAATTTTCCCTTTCGATAGGTGTGACAGCATGTCTTTCATGAGGGGCAGCGGGTATAGGTTGCTTTCACTGATTGTGTTCAGGGCCCTATAATCCACGCATAAACGTAAAGAGCCATCCTTCTTCTCTCTAAAAAGGACCGGGGCAGCCACTTTAGGCTTAGCTGGTTCAATGAAACCTCTCTCCAGGTTTTTTTTTATAAATCTTTCCATTTCCTCCTTCTCCTTTGGGCTCATGGAGTATAATCTGGGCTTCGGGAGTTTTGCCCCAGGCTTGAATTCAATGGTACAGTCTGTGGGTCGGTGGGGGGGAAGCTCATTCGCCCTCTCCTCACTGAAGACTTCAGCAAGGTCCCTATATTCCTCTGGTATTTCTGTTAATCTTTTTTCCTCTCCTATGGATGCTTTTTCTATTCTTGATTCTGGTAGCCTCTCTTGGGGTTTTAAGTCCATAGGGTCCCCCTTCGGGAATTTGATTTCTGTCGTCCTCCAATTTACCCAGGGGTTCCATTTTTTCAACCATTCCATCCCTAGAATCATTGGGCATTCCATACCTGGGGTCACCACAAACGTTAAGTCCTCTTCATGGTTGCCCAGGGAGAGGTGTATTGGCAGAGTGGCTAGGGTAGCTGGCACCCCCCCTGCTATGGATCCATCTAGCTGGCCAAATGAGATTGGTTGTTCCAGTCTCCTGGATGGGATGCCCAGATTCCCCACTAGTGTTGGGCTAATGAGGCAGCGGGTGCAGCCAGAGTCTATTAAGGCTTTCACCTTCACAGCTTCGGGCATGGGGGGGATTAATATAGTCACTGTTTTGAAGATGGGTGTGATGCGTCCACTTACCAGGGGTTCGCCTTCCGAGCTGTCATCTGAGGCATCCACCGTCCCTGTGGTGTAGGCTGGAGTTCTTTCCCCTTGGTGAGCAGAGGTGGGGTTTTCTGCAATTTCCATCATTTTCATGGCTGTTTCTTTTGGCTTAGCTGAATACCCTCTGGGTTTGTTGATTGGGGATCTGTCTGGGTTGTGCTGGGGGGCCTTTGAGCGGCATTCTACAGCTCGATGCCCTTCTCTTCCGCACTTGAAACACCCCATCTGCTTCTTGGCTGTATCCGATGATTTCACCGGTTGGTGTGTCAGCTCAGGCGGGGGGCGGCTCCATTGTTTTCCTCGGCGATGCCTCTTCAATATGTCGATCTCTGCTTCCTCTGCCAAGACGTACCATTCCTCAAGTCGATGTGGGTCTCCTCGGGGCAGGCAAGCATCATATAGATCATAGTTTAGTCCGTCTTTGAAACGGCCAAGGAGGATGTCTTCTGGCCAATTCAGTTTGCTGGCAATGGCTCGGAATTCTTGTGTATACTCAGCCACTGGGCGTTTGCCCTGCCTCATCGTTGTTATTCTTTCACGGGCTTTGCGATCAGCCAGGGGGTCTTCAAATCGTCTTCTCAACGAGGACATGAAACGGTTGAAGTTACTGAGTTCTGGGGCATTGGAGTCATGCAGGTTCACCACCCAATCTGCAGCTGGTCCATCCAGGGCAGATTGCACGATCCGGATGCGGGCTTTGTCGCTGGGGATGTCCTGCCCATATTCCTCCATGTAGCTGAGGACTTGGGTTAGGAAAAACCCCAAGCGTGTTGGCTCCCCTTTGAATTTCACCTCCAACGGTGGACGTCTTGGAATGGATCGGTGCCTCCATTGTGGGTGGTAGTGTCTTCCGTCCAGATTTCCATCTGTGGTCCGGTAGGGGGTGGGAGCTCCTGGATCAGTAAATGTCCCTGGGGTTGCAGGTTCCACGTCCCCCTCGGTGTCTCTCCCTTTGTGGCTCCAGGAACTGGGGCGGGCGTAGGGCTCAGGAATCTCCTCTCCTAGGGAGCTGAGAGTTCTCTTCATCAGGTCAATAGCTCTCTCTAGGATCCAGTCTGAGTACGGCATACAGCTTCCTCCCTCTTCACTTGCGTGCAGGGATTTCTCCATCTCCTGCTTCCATTCTGGTTGCTTGGTTCCCCCGTCTCAGGGTCACTTTTCTTGATTCCTTTCCCCACTCGCTTTTCTTTCCAACGCCCATCGACCAGCGAGGCTTGTGGTCCTGTGTCTCCACCACTTCTTCTTCTGAGAAATCTGGCCTCTCGGATCCCAACATCTGGCAAGGTTCCAACTGGGTCAGCGGCTCTCTTTCCAGGGAGTTTTCTCCCTCTCTTGCTTCGTTGTCTGACATGGTAAATTTTTGCAAAATCCCCCGGCAAGGGTCTACCTTCCAGGTGGATTAATTTTGCAAGTCCTGTCTAATGTAAGGACCCACCCCACTTTGCATCTTAAGAAGACAGAACTCTTGGAATAGCTCTTCCAACAGGAATCCTTTATTAAGAGAAAATGGTTGCAGGCATGCTAGACAGGACTTGGGGTTCAAGCTCTCCCATTCAAGGTTTTAAGGGGTTCCCCAGTAGTCCCACCCAATCAACCCCCCTTCCAGTGATAGTTTCAAGTATCACAATTCCATCCCCTTTCTTCTTCCGTCTGGATGGAGACTTCAGATAACTACATGAAAGGCAATTACTCTTCTTTGATATGTTAAAGCTTAGAGGCCACAATAAACACACATTCAGTCCTTTGAAGTGTGCTGAAGGAAGTGAGGGCCATAAAGCCCCTTTGCTCTCCCCCTTTTCTCCCTCTTATGGCAGAATCCAGAGAAGGCAGAATTGGGAGTTTCTATGTTTGATAATTAAAGATGAAATATAATTGGATTCTGACACCTTCATGGCATAGCCTGGTTATCTGAGTGACTGCCAATCTTCAATAGTTTCTGTCACTAAGATTGGGCATAGTAGAAAGACAGCCATAGAGAGTCATTTTGGTCTAGTGATGAAGAACCAGATTAGAAACCAGGAGACAGTGACTTTGGGCCAATTGCCAGGAAACTATGAGTTCCAGTCTCACTTTAGGCAAGAAAGTCAGCTGAGTGCTTTGCGCCAGTCACTCTTTCTCAGCCCAACTCACCGTAACAGGATTGTTATAATGAAGAAAATAGGAAGAGGAAGGGATATTGGGTATATTTCCCATCTTGAGTTATTTATAATGGCATTAAAACAATCTAAAATAAAAAATAAATAGGCATGCTCCAAGTACCTTTAATTAAAAATGCCATTTTCAGAATCTAGGAAATGTTCTGTCATGGCACCTGCCCTCTGAAGGTGTAACCTCCCAGAAGTCTGTATGGCTCCCACTAGGTGATGTTCAAAAAGTTGCTGAAAGCCTTTCTGTTCCTTCAGCCCTTATGTCAGGTGGTGTCGAGACCTATAAAATGTTGTTTAATTAATTATTGTTTTCTCTTTATTCTGATTGCATAGTCTACAGTCTTATGAAATTGTGTGATCTCTAAATTGCACAAATAAATTTCAAAATAAATTACTGAAGCATACAGTCCTCAAGATCCCTTTAAAAAAAATTGTTCAAGATACTGACCTTGCATGGAAGCTCAATTCAACAACCTGGCAAAACTCAATAAAGGAGTTTCCCTGGTGCTGGCAGTATCCTCCTTTTTCATTTCAAATGGAAGAAAGAGCTGACTAGTGACCAGGAACCATCTTTATTTTCTAGTTTCATCTCTTACATTTCCTGGATGTTCGCCAGCTGATTGACTTCATTGCGACATCAAATGCATTGGTCAATGTGACCACAATGATGCATGTTCTTTCGACCCTAAAGGATAAAAACTCTGAAATTTGTCTTGCCAAAATGGATGAATTCTTGACAAGGCTCAACTTGGTCATTGAACAGGTAATTTCTCAGAAAATATGGGGAATATTTTGCAGGTAGGGTCATATGCTTTCACGGATCATCTATTGGGGCTTCATGCCTTCAAGAGCAGGGGCAACTGAGTTCATCCTTTCTGCCTTCTCTCATCTTCCTTTTTTCCCAGCAAGCTCTTATGTAAGAAGCAAATTATTCTTGCTGGCTTTCTGGACCGATGGCTTGAGGGACACATGAGGATTTCGAAGTCTGCAGTTTCCAGTCCCCAGAATAAAACATTACATTTATCTTAGATTTGTTAGTTGGATGAGGTTTCCTTTTTACATCAGTTGAATGGGGTGGCTGGCATGGAAGAGAGGGTAGGACAGTGTATTTCAGTGGTGTTGGTTAATGGGAAATATGGAAGGCCACGGGGAGGTGCTCATGGGGAAAGCGACCTCGGTATTTCATATTGGTCTCATGTTCTGCCTCCTCGCACTCACCTCATTTACATGGTCAGCAGAGCTGTGGGGTCCAGGTTTTAGGTTGCTGCTTTTAAATGCCAGATCAGCCTATAGTAAATTAGATCTCTCAGCAGCCCCCAATAACATTGACCATACTACAGGTAATACTTGACTTACAGCAGTTCATTTAGTGACCGTTCAAAGTTACAATGGCACTGAAAAAAGTGACGATGACCATTTTTCTACTTACGACCGTTGCAGCATCCTCATGGTCACATGATCAAAATTTGGATGCTTGCAGTATCACATGATCAGCTTTTGCAAACTTCTGACAAGCAAAATCAATGGGGAAGCCAGATTCACTTAACAACCATATTGCTAACTTAACAACTGCAATGATTCACTTAACAACTGTGGCATGAAAGATTGTAAAGTGGGGCAAAATTCACTTAACAACTATCTCACTTAGCAATATAAATTTTGGGGTCAATTGTGGTCATAGGTCGAGGATTACCTGTATCCTTCCGGAGTGGCTTTGGGAGTAGGAACTCTGGTTGTCCTGGTTCACTTCCTTTCACTGTGATTGTTCTGAGTGGGTCTTAAGAAGTAAGAGGCCTGACCTTTGTCCCCTGTTTTGCAGGGTCCTGTGGGGCTCAGTACTTTCTCCACTTCTGTTTAACATCTACATAAAACAGTTGGGTGAGATCATCTGCTACTGTGGGCTAAGATATCAATAGCTATAGGTCACAGTCAATAGCTATAGCTCACAGTGAGTTAAATGATGCTGGCACCTCCCACCCACAGTGCTGGGAGAGGGAGGCCTCCAGAGAGGGATGGAGCCCACCATATGACACATTTGATTGTTGTCACTGGGGAGGGAGGGTATTTCCTTTTATTGTTTTTTATTGGGGTTTTATCTTTGCAAGCCACCCAGGGTCACTGAGATTGAGTTAAATAGCCATACAAATTTTCATACACAAATAAAAATATGTATCTTATATATAGCAATTTGCATCAAATGCATTGTGGCATTATTATACAAATGATTTAGCTGATTATTGGAAATATATATTGAACAAATAAATTTAAATTGGTACACATGATACAATTTGCATATTTGCATATGGCATCTTCACATAAATATTTTAAATTGCTATGCTGACATAATTTCATATTTAATAGTTATAAATGAAGAACGGAAATCTCCCTGAATAGTCCATTAAATTAAGGTCTCACTGTGTGATTCATCAATTAGTAAATCATTTTCATTGCAAACTTTGCTTTCCTGCAGTTTTTTTGCATGAACATTTTGCAGGCAAATTGTGTTGATGCCTGATCCTTCTTACAAAATTTAAAAGAGGGCTGTCCAATTTAAAATATGGACTAAATTAATTTCCACTACCCACTCAGCCTAATGTGCACTCTCTGGTTTACTACATCCAAGTGAAGAGCTTTAGAACTTCTCTCTTTTCTTTCCTTCTTTTTGAAATTCTTTTCAGAAGAACATTATGAGCCTCAGAAATGCTAAGGTGAGGCTGGAGGTGCTGAGTACCATTTTGACAAACCTGGAACGCTATTTCTACAAATTTACAGCTTTAGACTACGATTCCTGGTTCTTAAATAAACTAAAATTCCTTCTGCCTAGCATAAATGTGAATTTGTTGCAGCTGATACCACTGGATGTCAGTTATTCTGCCTACAGAGCCATGTAAGTATGAACTTTCCTCCCCCAGCCTCATGGCTCCCCTTAAGATCAATCTACTCAAGGTTTCATCCCTCTTTGTATATTAAATTCCAAGTCTCCTATTGAGGTTAATGGATTGGCAAAAGGAAGCCCTTCGTGTGGCCAAATGTATGTGGAATTAGCTGCCATAATATATTTGATGTAATATTTTTATTTTAATGTTACATGGTTTTGATCTTCAGATGGCTTTGCAGGAGAAAGAGAAGTTTGTTACAATCATAGAATCACAGAGTTGGGTGGGATCTCAGAGATCTTCTAGGCCAAGGGTCTGCAACCTTAAACACTCAAAGAGCCACTTTTCCCAGAGAAAAGAAAACACTGGGAGCTACAAAACATGTGTGCGCACATGTGCATGCGCAAGGGGGAGAGCTTGATTGAAAAGTTTAATTAAAAAGAAATAGAGGCTGCTGTGCATGAGTTCTCTCTCTCTCTCCCTCCCTCCCCCCTCTCTCTCTTTCTCCCCCCTCTCTCTCCCTCTCTCTGATCTTCTGCTCACTTGGCAAGCCGGCTTCAAACTGTTCTCCAACAAGCTGACACACATTCTTATTGGGCTGGCTCTCTCCTGCCCTTCCTGCTTCCTGTGTCCTGCAGAGTTGCAGCCAAGGCAGGAGCCCCGCCCAATAAGGTTGTCAGCTCATCGGAGAACAATGTGAGGCCACTCTCTTTTTTACACACACACACACACACAGAGAGAGAGAGAGAGAGAGAGAGAGAGAGAGAGAGAGAAGGGAAATGCAAGTGCCTCTCTCTGTCTCTGTCTCTGTCTCTGCAAATGGCAGAAGAGGCTGGGAGCCACAGGAAAAGGCTCAAAGAGCTGCATGCGGTTGCCAACCCATGTTCTAGGCTAACTGCCCTGCTCAGTATAGGGTCGTCTTTGACAAATGAACATCAAATCTCTGTTTGTAGACTTCTAACCAGCCAACTTGTTGTCATGGCTAAGGCACCAAGCTTAAAACTGGGAGATCATGGGCTTGGGCATGAAGCCAGCTGGGTGGCCTTGGGCCAATCACTCTCTGTTTGCCTGGGAAGAAGACAAGGACAAACTGCTTCTGGAAAATCTTTGCCAAGAAAACTATAGTTTCTTATCTGGGCAGTCACCAGAAGTAAAAAAAATGAAAGCACAGATACAGGTAGTCAGAATCGGAATCAGAAGTTGGAAGGGACCTTCTAGTCCAACCCCTCGCCTAAGCAGGAGACCCTACACCATTTCTGACACATGGCAGTCCAGTCTCCTTGAAAGCTTCCAGTGATGAAGCTCCCACAACATCTGAAGGCAAAGTGTTCCATTGGTTGATTGTTCTCACTGTCAGAACTAGTCAGTTCATCTAATTCCCTGGGAGTCATGGAATACAGTTTGGGTTTTGGCTCCAGGGACAATTTCAATGGCACAGTCTGTGGGTTGATGAGTTCATCTGAGCCCCTTTCACTGAACACTTCAGCCAAATCATGGTATTCCTTAGGTATACCTCTCAATGGCTTGCTCTTTGCGGCCTCTGCCATTTCTCAGTTTGACTCTCCTTTTTGTTCATTACGGCTACTAGATGGGGTTTTCTGTTCCTTTGGGAACCTTAACCACCCGCCCCACCAGTTCATCTGTGGGTTCCATTTTTTCAGCCACAACAGTCTTAGGAAAAGGGGCCATTCCATGCCAGGTGCCACCATAAAGGTTAAAGTCTCAGAGTGGCTCCCCATGGAGCCCAGGAGTTCAGTGGCAAAATTGGCTGGGACACCTCCAGCGGTGGACACGTCTAGCTGGCAGAATGCAATTGGGTTCTTCAATCTCTTTAGGCAGATCCCCAGCTTTCCACTAGGGTAGGGCTTATTAAACATCTGGTGCACCCTGAGTCTAGTAGGACCTTCAGAGCTACTTTTGTCCCCATGCCTGGGATTAATGGTTCTATGGGCATGGTTAGTGACACGATCGGCTCACTTACCAGGGGGTCATCATTGTAGTCACTGTCAGATGTCCCCAGCTCTTTCTTCAGTGAAGTCAGGGTTCCCCCTCCTGATTTTGGGGAGGGATGGAACTCTATGACCTCCATGTTCTTCATGGCTGTATTTTTTGGGCACTGGAAGGGCTTGGGCGGTTTTCTCCCCAATGGTCGATCTGCCTTTTTTGCAGAGGTTCTTATGTGGCATTCTACAGCCCGGTGGCCTTCCTTGCCACACTTGAAGCAGGTGGTTAAGCTCAGCATGGCTGCCAGAGGCTTTGTTGCTTCCCTTTTGCCTTCTGGTGGGGATCGTCTCCACATTTTGCTAGATCAGTGCTGATTCCAAGCTTGGTTGATCTCTGCTTCTTCAGTCAAAATGCACCAGTCATGGAAGCGGGCAGGGGCCTCTCAGGCAATGCAAGCATGGTATAGATCATCGTTAAGCCCATCTTTGAAACAACTCACCAGGATGTTTTCCAGCCAGTTGAGGCGGCACACCAGGTCCCAGAACTCTTTGGTCTATTCAGCTATGGAGTGGCAGCTTTGCCTCACCATCTTGATGCAGTCCTGTACCTTCCAATCCAATAATGGGTCTTCAAATCTCTGTCTCAGTACTACCACAAAGCGGTTGAAGTTTCAGAGCTCCTGTGTGTCAGCGTTGTATAAGGTCACCATCCATCTGGCCACAGCACCTTTCAGGGCAAGGGTGATGACCCTGACTCTGGCTCCTTCATTGGGAAGTTCCCACCCGTACTCCTGCATATAGGTGAGGACGTGGATGAGGAAGAATCCCAGTTGTTGAGGGTCTCCATCAAACTTAACGCCAAGGGGGTGTGCTCCAGGCACAGAGCTCCCCTTCTGCTGACTCTCTGGACATTACCCCTGGCTGGCACGATTCGAGCTGGGGTAGCTGTGGTGGTTGTCACCCCTCCTGCAGAAGCTGTGGTGTCTGCCAAGGTCTTGGGAATGGGGGACTCACTTCCCCCCCACGCAGACCCATCTGCCAGTTCCTCACTTGCTTCTCCAGGACTGCCAGCTTCTTGCCCTTTCAAGTTCTGGAAGGCTTCCACCATCAAATTTATAACCCGCTTTGGGAACTGGTCAGCTTAGCTTGGCTCTTCACCTGCCTCGTCATCAGTGTAGACTAGCTCCATTTCACACTTCCGTCCCAGTTTCCTGCTTCCATGGGTGAGAGTAACCTTTCGGATTCTCCCTTCCCAGTCCTCCTTTTTCCCAATGCCAAGGGACCTTCTTGGCTTTGGGAGATTTTCCATGGAGGCAGCTTCCCCCATCCACTTGGAGGGGCTTTCCTTGGGGTGAGTCTCTGCCCATCACTCAGCCTCCTTCTGCTTGCTGCCATGGTTGGACATTATGTTCACAGTCCCTGCAGTAAGACTGTGATCCCTCCGGGTTGGCCACTTTGCAGATCTTGCCTAATGTAAGGTCCTGCCTCAGCTAGTATTCCCAAGAAAGCAGAACTCTTGAAACTGGCATCGTTTCAACAAGAACTTTAATTGAGAGACAGTGAAAGCAGAAAGACAAGATCTGAATAATCCCTGCACAAAAAATTACATTAAAAACTCTCCTTTCAAACCCCTCCCCAGTGCCCAACTGTCCAGTTTGACTTCAGCCAATGCACAGGTGTGAAGCTGTTATGGGAACTGGAGCAATAAGGCATGGTTCTCAGGCATTTCAATTTCTTCCTGGTGTCTTCTCAGCAGAGTAGAGATAAAGCAGATGGCCCCAGGCACATTCCTCCCCACAAACTAAAGGAAATACATCCCAGAGCCCACAAGACTTCCTCCCTCTCAACAGAGTACAACCTTCCCATTCCCAACAGAATGGCAGAGCCCTGAGAATAAGGTCTGAGAGGATCTGACAGTCCTCTAATAATCTTTGTTGCTCTTCTCTCCACTTTTTCTAGAGTCTCAACATCTTTTTTATAGGGCGAAGACCAAAATTGGTTGCACTGTTCTAGATGTGGCCTTACTAAGGCTAAAGCCTTAGAATGGTATTAGTCCTCAACTTATGACCATAATGGAGACTGCCTATTATAGTTACAAGTGATAACATCCTCACTTAATGTCCCCCACCCCTTGCTTTCCCTAATGCAGCATTAAACAAACATGTGGGCCTTTAAGGAGCGCATGGGGTGCCACATGGGTGGGGGAGGCCCTGGAAGGCTTGGCACAGGCCCAGACCCATCTGCCTCAGACCTCTCAAGGCTCTTTTACCCTGGAGCACCTGTGGATCTGCTCCCAACCTGGCCACTTAGCTATCCAAAAGAACTAAAATCAGGTAATAGTAGCTCTCACATGCACATGGGGAGCTGTTAGAGCTTGTAAGCCAAGGCCCTTAAAAACAAAGGCAGCCTGGGTAGGAAAGCTGAGCCTTGCATCATCCAAATGCCTTTCTGCAAAAAGCAGAGCGTTATGTTGGGTGCTTCTGGGCCCTGGAGCTGATTGAGGAGTAGCCAAGTCTCTTGGTAACTGGGTGGAAAGCAAACTGAGGCCCATAGGCTGCAGGCAGCCCTCACAAGCCAGTAGCTTGTAAGGACCTGCCTGAGTTAAACCTCCCAAGAAAGCAGAACTCTTGAAACATGCATCATTTCAACAGGAACTTTTATTGGGAGATGCTGACTACAGGAAAATAAGGCAGGATCTGAGGGTTTCAATTCAACATTGAAATCCAACCCCCCCCCAACTGTCTATCCGGTCAGTTCAAACAGAGCCAATCCAAATGTGTCAAATTGTTGTGGAAAAGAACCAATTAGGCACCGCACTCAAGGTTGACAGGTCCCTCCATGGCCTCTTCCCTCCACCTGGAGATACGGCAGATGGCCGGAGAAACATTCCATTCTCACCCCGAGAAAGAGATACTTCAAAGAGAAAAGAACAAAGCAAAGGAAATACACTGTAGAATACCCATAGGACCCTCCCCCCAACAGAATGGCAGAACCCAAAAAAGGGAAGAAGGGAATAGGTAAAAGAGGGAAAGGGGGTTCTGACATGCACCCCCCCCTTAAAAAATGAG